CCGCAAAAAAAAACAAAAAACCCTGCTGAATTTTGCCTGCACGGGGTCCCCCGTGCAGGTGAACCCCGGGCGACTTTCCCGGGTTGCACGGCCGGGCGAGCAAAATAGCCTAGATACAGAGTTCAAACCAGTGATTTAAACATTGAAACCTCGAAGGCAACACCCGAGGTCCAATTTGTAAACCACCACTATGTTAAATTAAATACGGACTAAAGTTAAAACCACCAAGTTAATTAAATACGGACTAAAGTTCAAACCACCAAGTTAATTAAGTACGGACTAAAGTTCAAACCACCAAGTTAAATTAAATACGGACTAAAGTTTAAACCACCAAGTTAATTAAATACGGAGTCCTAAAGTTCAAACCACCAAGTTAATTAAATACGGAGTCCTAAAGTTCAAACCACCAAGTTAATTAAATACGGAGTCCTAAAGTTCAAAACACCAGTTAATTAAATAGTAAATACGGACTAAAGTTCAAACCACCAAGTTCAACACGGTCTAAAGTTTAAACAACCCAGTTTAATTAATAGGGTCTAACGTTTTTAAATCACCGAGTTTACTAAATAAATAGGGTCCAAACGACTCCAAAGTTTTTAAATTACCAAGTTACTAAACATTAAATTACCGAGTTACAAAAAAATAAAAAAATAATTAAAAAAAAATCTAATAATAATAATAATAATAATAAATAAATAAAATAAAAAATACCGAGTTACTAAACACGGTCTAAAGTTTGAACCACCAAGCTAAACACCAGGGTTAAAGTTCAGTCAAGAAAGTATAAATCACACCAAGGGAAGGCGTAGACCCCATCCCCATGCGATCCTACTTGTATAGGTATGGTGACATAGTATTAAACCGCTAAGAAGTGAAATAGCACAACAGCTGCTGCAACCCACAAGTTAAATGAAGGTTAAACCACCACTAAGAATTGAAGGACCAAAACAGCTGCTGCAACTCAAGAGTTAAATGAAGGTTAAACGGCCACTAAGAAGTGAAAGACCCAAAAAACTGCTGGAACTAGAGAGATTAACGAAGGCAAACCACTAAAGAAACCCAGTAGTACGTTACGTTAAAACACCAGAGGCTTGGGAGAGTAGGGAGATGAATGAAGGAAAACAAGGGAACAGGTTTTGGGTAGACAGATGTTCAAGGATGGTAGAGGGGAGTTGTATTCGAACGCATGAAGGTGATAGACTGGACAGTGCGTGGGGATGTACACTGGGGAATAATGAGAGGCCCTGGGGCTGGAAGACAGCCTGGGAAAAAAAAGGGGGGGGGAAAAAAAACAAAAAAAAACAAGACCCAACCTGGTCGCTCTACCTGGCTTCCCCGGACATGCATAATGGGTGACTGGGTACCGGGCAGAGGTTTGGCGGTCAGTATGCGTGCCCTGGGAGGGCCCAGGCCTGCACCACCAGGCTGCTCGTCCCCTCCCCCCCCCCCCTTGGATCGCGTCTAGGGCGACAGGGGTATGGGGCTGAGCTGACTGCCTCTCCTCTATCTTGAACTTGTATCTTGCTTGGCCGTGATAAACAACCGGACTGTCGCCCCCCCCATAATAGATGGGGTGATTTTTCTCGAAGGTTTAAAAAAAAAAGAAAAAAAAAAAAAAGAAAAAAAAAAAAAAAAGAGAGAGGTTTGTTTAAACCACTAAGTACTAAGTAGTGAGGAGTTAAACACCAGAGGTTTTTGTTCGAAGTTAAAAAAAGTTGAAACCACTAAGTAGTAAAGATAAACAAGAGAGGATTTTAGGAATTTTTAGCCCATACTCACGCAAGGGAGGGGTCTTCAGGTTGCTTATCTTATCTTTGCTACGAACTAGTACGAAGTACTTAGCGAGCCAGGGGCACTTTTTTGTTTGCTCCAGCTCATGGCTTTCCAGGCACTGCAGGGAAAGCCATGATATCATTCGATTTAGAGCATACGGCCTCGCCATATAACTAGCGAAACCAAAAACAATGCGAGTGTATCTTCCCACAGAAGTTGGCAGAAAACGTTCGTTGCTATGAATAGTAATGGATGAATCTAGCTACTTTCTGCGGGAAGATGCACTCACACGTATACTCCCACAGCGACTTTCTCGTCTGTATGGGTTTGATGCGTTCAGGAAATTCCAAATGTCAGTATGCCGGTATTTTTTATTTAAAAAGCAAGTAAGCTACATTCTTCTC